CATTACAGTTCACTTGAGAAATGCATGCCCTTTTTGGAGCTGGAGTTGGTAAAATGGTATTCAAATGGATGCTGTTTGCACTTGTCTTATACTTATTCCTCTTCTTGAGCAGAATCAACAGCAAGTACTGTTTTTTAAAAACTTTCCAGAAACTCCCAGGGAAACCTGGGCCTGGTAGTACAAGTTGGTAACTCCAGCTACTTGAAAGGCCAAGGCAGGAAGATGCTAAGTTCAAAATCTGCGAAAGACCCAGCCTGAGAATTTTAAAGTTAACCAAAGTAGGGGTGGGAGCTAGTAATATAGTTCAGTGGTACAACACCCACACAGCATGCAGAAGGTTCTAGGTTCAAGCCTCAGTGTAAAAAGAAGAGGAGGGCAGAGTGGGGCTCAAGCAGATGATGAGTTCTTGCATTAGCACTGGAGTGGTGAGATTTGCTGAGCAGCTATATCAGCTGGTGAACTGAGTAAGAATGAGGAGGGTGAATTGATGACTTGCTGTTGATGATCTAAAAGGTAACGGCTGTTGTGGACTTAGCTATATGTCTTCCAAATTTGAACGATGAATTACGGTTCCCCATTGCGATAGTGAGAAGAAAGACCATTAGACATATCAGGTTCAAGGGATGCGATGTACAGAGTACAGTGATGGAGCTCTTGCCTACCTAGAACAATTGTGGAGGGCCTTGCTTCAGTTCCTAAAACATAACGATGATCATAGAAGATGACCCTGAGACATGGGATCTTTCACTTCTCAAGGAGTCTTGATTGCTTAGTTCTTCTTGGAGTCATATAGCTGATAGAGATGGATATGAGGATTTGGAGGGTAACCACCACGATTCCAGGTTCTTGTGTCCCAGGGCATAGAATTGAACAGAGACACTAACTAGCTTGTAACTATCTTATGCAGGAAGCTGAAAAGATGTGAAATTAATTCCATCTTAAACTTTTAATATCATTCCAAAGTAAGCTAGCTTACTTTGGTAATCACATAGTCCTCTTGCCTGGGACAGGATAGAATGTGTCAATCCAGGAATATTCAAGCTGTCTTCAGAAGTCCTGGTGAAACTTTGAACTAAAGGAATATGAGGTACCTCACTGGCATCTACTTCCCAGCTGGTAGAAGCATGTGGACCAGTCTGAGAAGTCAGTTCTCCAAGTGTCCCCAAAAAACACTGAACTGTTGTAGGCACTCATCAGAAACTCCCTACTAGTGGTTAAGACAGAAAGACTGTTCAACTTAAGGATCTAGTTTCAGACTTCTTGTTTTTTAAATTTGCTAACTAGTTAGTCCTTTTTTGTTTTGTTTTGATTTGGTTTTGGTTTTTTGAGACAGGGTTTCTCTGTATTGCTTTGGAGTCTGTAGTGGAACTAGCTCTGTAAACCAGGGTAGCCTTGAACTCACAGAGATCTGCCTGCCTCTGCCTCCTGAGTGCTGGGACTAAAGGCGTGTACCACCAACACCTGGCTACTAGTTAGTCTTTTAAGGAAGTAAATGTTGGAATGTTTAAATATTTAATGCTGTGGTTTTAAAACTATTTACTTGTATGTTTGCATGCTTGCATGAGTATATGTGCATTCATTATATGCTTGCTGGTGCCTGCAGAAGCCAGAAGGGAATGTTGAACCTCTTGGCACATGAGTTGCAGAGGCGATGAGCTGGCTGTTGTGGCTGATAAGGACCAAACCCTTGCTCACTGCAAGAGCAGCCAGTGCTCTTAGCCTCTGACCCATCTCTCCAGTCCTAACCATGTGACTGATGACTCACCGTTCTTCCCAAAGAACTTGGTGTTTGCTCTGGTCTCAGCGTTACTAAGATTGAAATTAAACTTGGAAACTGGGAATCAGTTCAGTGCATTTTCCATAATTACCATTCTATATGTGTCTGGGTGATGTGATAAAGGCAAAAAAGACTCTCCCAGACTGTAGTTCCATTCATCACAGAGGACAGGCCAACGGCATGGGAAACCTCCTGGGAAACAAATCTCTGAGCTCTCAGCACAGAAAGTCTTCCCTTAACCTGTCCAGTGAGATTTCAGAACTGGGAGCCAATCTTTTACCTCTTAGGTTGAAGATTTGTTACCACCTGGTCTGTCATTGTGTATTGGTGTGTTATGGGAAGGGGTTGGAGATAATTTGTATATCCAGATTCAACATCTGTAGAGGAGTGAAGATGCCCATATGGGCACAACAGGCATAAGACAGTCACATAAAATCTGGAGACCTGGGATTATGAGTGGGTGTAGTGATAGAGGAGTCTTTGGAGATGGATTTGGTATGTTCTGTGTGGTAAGAAAAAAGCTAAGTTTTGTTTGTTTGTTTTTGTTTGTTTTTAAAAACAACTATTAGAATAGGCTGGTGTTTTAAGTGACTGGTCAGGAAATGAATACCTTGGTGATTGCCAACAGTTCCAACCTCCTTGTATACAGTCTATTATCAATGGTGTCATTCAAATGTCTTGATCAATAGTGAAAGGTAATACTGGCCAAGCAAAGGCACTGGAGTGCAGGTAAACTTCAAGCTAAGCAACTCTTTTAAAAGTACACACTTCTGAAATACATCTTGGCTTACATTTATGTTAATATTGATGGAATCGAAAAAGTATGGAGGTGTTGTCACTCAATACTACATCTCAGAAGAAGGAAAAGTCTACAACAAATATTTTTAATAAACTCACGGCCTTTATATATATATAGTCCAGAGTGGCATTCAACCTGCAGCTTCCTACTTCAAATTCCCAAGGAATGGCATTATAAACCTGTGCCAAAACAGCAAGCCCACACCACTGCTAAAAGGGGCATAAATCAATAAAAATAGACTATTAGTCAGAATGACATTATCAAGAGCCCACAAACAAAAGAATAATAGTGGAAAGGATTGGGGAAAAGAAATCTTTGTACACTGTTGTCGGGAATATAAATTATGTCAATCTCTAAGGAAATAAAATGTGGATATTCCTTAAAACCTTAGCATGGCACTGCCATGTGATCTAGATGTACTATTCCTAGACATATATCTGGAGGGATCTAAGTCAGGGTATCTCAGAACGACTATGTTTATTGCAGGCTTATTTTCAATAGTCAACTATGTAACTGGCGTGGATGCCCATCAAGAGATTAATGGATAAAGAAACTTTCATCTTTTGGCTACAAAGAAAAAAGAAGCCATGTAATTTGCCCCCCCCCCAATAATGAATGCAACAGGAAACCACCATGTTAAGCAAAATAATTAAGAAGTAGATAATGCAAGTTTTACATGTTTTTTTTCTCATATATAGAATCTATAAAAGGAAAAAAAATAAGGATGACCCGGGAAAAAGAGAACCTACTACAGTACAGGAAGCAGAATGAGGCTGAAGAAAGATAGAGTAAAAGAAGTGATCAAAGTATGTGGGAATTAGTTGGGGACAGTGTTTTCCTCAGACAAGTTCACATTTAGTGTATTTGCATGTGTCTACGATGCACAACAATGAGTTGTGTCTTTGAAAGCATTCCTCCAAGCTTAAGTAATGGAAGTTCAACATCCCCTGAAGACCATTTTGATATGATGAACATGTTCAGAACAACTTCTATATAAAATTCATAGATTCATAAAATACTTTAAATACACCCGTACATGTTGTGGGTTATGTCATTTTTCCCTTTACTCTTCCGCCCATGACACATTTATTGAACTACCTATGAGAGAGAGAGGAGAGGGAGAGACAGAGAGAAGGATGCATGGATAAAAGGAGGAAGGAAGAGAGGGAGGGAGGGAGGGAAGGAGGGGGAGCAAGTACCATGTAAGAGCTGGAAGATTATTATAGTCTTGGTGAACAACATAATAAGAATATTGGAAAGAGACTCACAAGTTTTCAGCTTTTAAATAAATGTGGTAAATTTAGGCAAATACATGGAATAGAACTGAGTCACCCTAGTGAAAAGCACATTTACTTATTATGTCTTCATTCCACCCTGTGATCTTGCCAACCTAAGAGGCAGAGGCTGGATGCTACATTTATGCCTTGTCTCCTTCGTTGTTATTTTTGCAAGCATTTCTGTTTGTCTTCATTCTTCAGAAATGTAGCTTTGATGTGGAAAATGTTGCCTTCTGTATAAAATTGAGTTTACCATTTTGATAGTTTTTATCAAAAATTTATATGTGTAAATCTTTACACAAAGTGCTGAATGGAATTACAAGATTGGATGTCTTGTACATTTTAGGACTCTTGAAATACATCTGGAAGTGGTTCTGTAGGAAGGTTGCACTTTCAGTAGAATATTAGCAGTATATAGGATTCTGTGTGGGTTTAATATTTTCATTCCAAATCACACATCATTGCTCTTTAATTTTTCTTTCCTTCTTTTGTTATTCCTTGGTGCTATATTAAATTTCACATTCTTTTCAGTGGTGAAGTTGATTTTTAAAATATGCTTGTTGGTTCTTCAGCATTTTTCTTTTTGTTTTGAAATATTTATGCATGAAACACATATTTGCTGTGGTTTTTCCAAGTGACAATTTATATTAACAATTTTGACATTAAGAAATATTTATGCTTTCAAACTTGTTTACCCATTTCTTGTGATTTATTTTATTATTCTGTTTAGAAAATGTTTCATAGCCTAAGATTAGCAAACTACCTGTCTTTTAGTTATTTGGCAAGTGTTTTAATTTTCATTGGAAGATTTAACTTATGTATATTTATTTTAACAAGATAGTGCCTTAATTTAAGCTTTTTCCTAAGCCCGTTTTCTGAATGTCGTTTGCTACTAAAATAATGACCCTCCCCATAGGAATATGATGCTCTGTCGTCTGTCAGATTTTACATATACAGGACCTGGTCTATTTATGAACTTGAAATAAATTGTCTAAAAGATTCTTCTCTAAATGTGGGGAGTGATAGTTTTCTATACTTTTGTCCTAGGTGTTAACAAATTACAACAATTCTTAGTATTGTATTGCTGGAATGGGTGAGAACAACCTGCGGAGGCATTTAGGACCCAGGGGAAAGCCAGGCTTGGTATAGAAGGACAGAGTCTCTGGCGCACACGCCTCCTACCCAAATCACAGCCCGGTGCAGCCCGGCTCTCATTCACAGCTTTCTAGAGAAATCTGAGCTCCAACTGCCAGGATAGGGGATCTCACCCACCCAGTTCAGCCGCGAGGACACCTGCAGGAACACATTCTCAAAGCAAGCCTGGGCGGCGGTGTGAAGGTATTTGTTGCCTTTTTCTTCCTTCTGTGTTCTCAGCGCCTCCCAGCCTGTCCCCGCTCTAGCGGTGCCATGGCTGCGGCGTTTCAGCACTTGGGCGCGTGGACAGCTCCCATCTGCAATCCCACTGCGCTCCAGCTCCATCCCTTCCGCACCCCACTTTCTGCCACCTCCGCGGTCCTTCCTCCTGCCACGCTCCCCAGCCTGCGCTCCCCAGCCATCAGCACCCTAGCTCCACCATCGGCGTCATCATCTCCACCATCACCGGCGCGGTAACTACAGTCCACGCAACTGTGTCTGGTCACTTAGACAAAGCCTGAGGTCCACAAGGTAGAAAGGAAAGAGCTCAAGTTCACAGGCATAGAAGGGAAAGTTCAGGTGGAGAGACCCCTGAAAACAAAGAGAGACGCCTGCTTGAGAGAAAGGGAAAGTGGAGGCAGCAGGCAGAGACCCCAGAAAGGGGACAGATGGGGACTTGCCAGACACCAGCAGTTAGCCAGCTGCCTTTCAGCAGACTAGAGACTGTTTAGTTCAGGGAATTAACATGGCCTGAGGCATAGTGTGATTCCAGGAAGAAATGTTAGCTCAGCCCCGATATTCTGGTTTTCCAATGGAGAGTCAGCAGGAAGCAGTGTGGGGGTGATGGGTGACTCACAGCACCCACATGGATGTTTTCTTCCTAAGCATTTACTGTAGAAACTCTGGAATTAAGTTTTTTTTAAGGTTCTACAAAATGAAAACCCCAAGGTTAACTCTGTGGCCAAAATGAAAAATTAAAATGGTGATAGTGAGAACGTAAAAAATAAGCCTTTCACCAGGAAATTCTATTTACTAAAAACGTTTCTTCTTGAATACTTATTTCAATTTCCCAATCTTAAACCTCTCTTGGAAAGAGAACAGACATATCCCTTGCCCAAACGGCCAAAGTGGTAATGATATTCTGAGCAGATGGCCTGGCTTTGTTCATCACTAGTCAAGGACTGGCTCAGATTTGGGAGGAGAGGTTTTCGTGTGCTTTTTCAGTAATCAGGCAATAACACCATTTTTCCTAGAATAGTAAAGGGTAATAGAGTGCAGAAATTGAAAAGGCATTTTATGTAACTGTGGGTTTGCCTGGCTCTGTTTTACAGTGCTATCGTCTTCTATCAAAGCCAATGGGGAGTGGGAACACCTTTCAAACAGCTCATTAATTTGGACCTGATGGCCCAGTCCTAGGTCACGGCACCTCTTTGATTTAACCAGGATCATTTGCTTTGTAAGAGCTAACCAACAACAGCAAACAAGTGCTTGCACCTGTCATGGATGTGTTGAAAGGGACTCTTAGATTCTATTGTACTGAACTGCAAAGTATTATAGTTTCTTTTGTTGCTGTTGTTGTTTTTGCAAGTTGTTGTTTTTTGTAAAACTGGCATCTTAATTTATGCGTGTTGTACCTAAGTAGAGATGTTGTCAGGTCGCTGGTCACTTGGTTCATTTAATCTGCCTCTTGGAAAAGGGACAGTGAAGCAAGTTCTGTTCTTGCTCATCTTTAGAGGCACCACCCAAAGTAAAGAGACTCACAGACGGATATGTCCTGGAAGAAGCTTTGTGCAAAAATTCATGCTCAACTATCTTCAGAATGAGGAATAGTAGCATCATGTAGAGTTTGCTTACTGTTACTAATTTCATAAAGTTAAAAGCACAGCTCTAAATTTTACTCGTTTTTAAGCTCAAACCAAGAAAATCAGTGAATATATTTGGTAAAATATATCACCTACTACTGTCTTCAGATTGATAATATTCACAACAAACAAGAGCTCTCAAGTCTCTGGGAAAAAGACGTCTTAAAATACCCTTATCTATGTGCAAAGAATGGTCCAGACCAGGGGGCTGAAAGCTATGCACATGTTGCCAATTTGAGCTGCTTCACCAGAAACACAGGCCCGGGATGCAAATCCTCCAGAGCCACTGTCTGCTGGTGCTTAATACAGTTCCCTAAGGCTGGTGAGATTGCAGAACAGTGCTGCCTCAGGGAGATTTGCAGGCACCTGTCTCTAAAGCAATGCTTCTTCTCCCTCTCTGAAATATTATGCTGAGCTCGTTAATTTTTATTTTGTGATACTGTTGAGGCTTCCACACTTATTATTTTAGTTAGGGTTGTTTATCTTTCGTAATGCTAATAACAAAACCTCCTCATTTAAAAACTAATTTAAAGGTGAACAGGAATATGTTTTTTATTTTCAGCACAGTGCCCTTTCTGTAGACAAACTTACAGAACGGGAAAGGAACAGAATTTTAGAATCTGTGTGCACAGCTGGAAGGCTCACTCCCTAAAAGATGATATCTTGAACTGGTTATGTCTGCTTACATCTTTTGGCTCGACAAGAGAGACACCCTATCATCTCTGAGACATCTGCCCCTGACTTCAACAACTCCCTTGTTGCAAAGCTATCCTTCTTAAGTGGACTCTGGCTGGCTTTGATCTTTCCTGCTGTTGTGACACTGTGACTTGGACAGAGGAGGCAAAGCAGCATGGAGGGGGGGTGATACAAAGCTTGTATATAGGTAGGAACTCAGAAACACCCCCAGGGTTGTCAAGAGAGCTGGCCCATCCTTCCTTTTGCACCCTCTCCCAAATAGTTATTGTTGTGATCGTTATCACTCATATCCAGATTTCACTGGAATGAAGCCTCACAAGAAGGCGCACAGTGTCAATGACCACAAGTCTGCAACCCTCATCAGCCCGAGTGCTGTATCTCTCTAGAGAATCCAAGTTATACTTAGCTTAAAGGAAGTTCATGTTCTGTCTGGCTAAACCAACTGGCCAGACACTGTCTGCCCCAAATTGAACCCTTATGTGTTCAGACATGAGTTCATTATTTCCCACCTCCTCTGAGTTTTCTCCATCAGGCTGTCCTGTGCTGTTTTCTGTCTATGGACTTGGTCTATGTCAGGAAATATTATGGAAAGTGCTCTTAGTGATAGCCTAATTTCCTGGGAGCTTTTGTTTAACTTGAATTCTGAGCTAGGAAGAATTTCCCTACATGTGTTGGGATGGATATACTCTGACTTGGGCACTCACAGCCTAACCTTTGATTTTTAGATATGGCATAGATGTCTGGCTATCCCTTTCCAATTTTTGTTCCTTCTGGATTGAGATTCCATTGTTGCTCAGATGTACTGTGTAAACTTCCAGACCTTTATGTGTGTCACATGTCTAGGCCACTTGGTGCTCTGTATTTTATTGTTTTAGGGGACACAAGGACAAAGTTGTGGGCCAAGAGATGATGGAGGGGCTCACGTTACAAGCTATACAAGCAAACTTCTCAAAACAGAGTCGCTTGGCATTTCCCCCATACTTTCTTTTTCTTTCATTCGCTTTCTTTCTCGCTCTCTTTTTCTTTCCCTCCCTCTCCTTCCCCAATCCTCTTTCTTCTCTTCCCTTTTGCCTTCCTTCTGAGGAGAGATCTCTCTTCTCCGTCCTTAGATGCTATGTAGTGTGCAAGCGTGTGTGGGTGTAATTCATAGGGTGACACAGTAAGCTGCCATGGGTGCAGCTGCGCATGGGAATGGATGCCCTAGTGATGTGCTTAGTTAGCCTTCTACTAACAACGTGGTACTTTTGAAAACACAGACATTTTGAGATTTGCCTTGGAGCAGGCCTTTCGCCTCAGCCCTTTGGGATCATTGCTTCTCAAGTCTGATTTTATCGCTTAGTCAGTGAGTCAGAAGTGCATCTCTGTGGTCCCTGTTTCCAATAACCTGTGAAATTCTGAGGCTGCTACTGATTAATAGGCCACTTTGGGTGAAAAATCTCGATTGATACATAGTAGTTAGGCATATTTTGGGGACACAGTGTAATCTTTAGATGGCTGTATATAACGTGCATGTCAAATCAGGTTAATTGTCAGTTCTTTGTATGGAGAACCTTCCTACGCTTCTGCTGGCTTTAAGATATAAGTCACTGTAAGCTATAATTGTCCCACCGGTCTCTGGAACCCTGAAGCTTGTTGCTCTAATCTAACAATAGTCTCACTTCTCCCCCTCACCCATCCCTCCTCCCCTTTCCAGACTCAATTATTATTCTCTTTTATCAAATCAATGTTTTTGTCCCTTATAAGCGAGGGACAGCGCTTGTTTTTCTGTGCACTGGCTTATTTCACTTAACGTCATGAATGGTGTTCTCTTGAAGACGGACAGACAACAGTTACCCTCTTGTTTAAATTTTGTACCTCCAGGTGTAATTAGTTATCAAGCTTCTTTGAAACAAAATCCAAGCCATTCTACTTTCTGAAGTCGTGAGAGCTCAAAAGTCACATGTTCAGTTGAGGGCAAGTTGAAGGAGTTCTTCTTTCCTCGTACCTGACCCCAAAGCAACCTTTTCCATTCCACTTTTGTCTGGGAGTTTTCTCCATTCTGATCCTTGCTACAGGCATTATTGTCCCAACCATATCCACAAGAAGAGTCCCAGTTACATAGATGTCCCGAAAAATAAAGTGAGAAGGAGAATTTGGGGAGCCCCATCTTTCTTATATCTCCAGATTAATTTTTATCAAATAATAGAGTTAATTTTGGGGAAAATACATTCTTCTTTTGAGGATCAAATAGTCAAGCATTTCCCATTCTATCTTTCACTCCCAATGATATGCCTACCAAATCTGATCTGCTTTGGGCATATGAGTGCCAACTGCTTGCAGTCCTAAGGCAGAGAGACATCCTATGAAGACATTTCAGTCTAATTTCCCACATCTTTATCACCTCCTCCCCATGCACTCTCTTTTCATAGATACCCTGGTGAGAAAGAGTTACTCTAGCGAAAACTTTCCAGCCTAACCCAGCAGAGAGGCAGAAGGGCACTCTGCTATTCTCCTGCTTGTCTAGCCCCTTTCTTTCATTGTCACACAGCCATCTAAAATTATAAACGATGACAGAATGTTGTTCTAGATCACAGGAGTCAGCTCTCTGCCAAATAGCTTCACTGTACCTGAGGCCTGGCCTATCCTCACTTCAATCTGGCATCTATT